ATATACATATATACATGTATAAACATATATTTATATCTTTATATTCATATTTATTTGAAAGCATTCATTTTTATTAACATATATATATATATATATATATATGTAATATATATATATATGTGTATATACATATATATATGCATACACATATAAACATATATATATATATATATATATATATATTTATTTTTATATGAAAAATTTCTATTTATACAAACATATATATTTTTATGTGTATATGTATATATGTATATATGTCTATGCATATATAAATATGTATATACTTATATATTTATATCTTTATATTTATATTTTTATGAAAATATCCATTTACATAAACATATATTTATATACCTTATACTTTATACCTATATATATATGTATATATATACAGATATATATATATTTTCACAAACTAAAATATAATTATGATATACATATATAGAACCATGACTATCTTTTCACTTGTATGACTATTTATTTCTTATATCATACAACCGAAACAGAAGATATATATATTATATCAATATATATGTATACATATATACATGTGTGTATGTGTGTTTTTGTGTGTATTCGTATATACATATATATGTTTATATGCTTATGTGATTGTTTGGAAGGTTATGTTCGTTTGCAGCTCATTGTATATACCGAAGCATGATGCATTGTTAATTATAATCGATGAACGATTACTTGCTATATGTTTGTCATAGCTTTGTACGCATACCCGTATATCGATGCATGTATTCATGTTCTCCCACTGCAATATTTCTTCTCTAGCTGTTCGTATGTTCCATTACATATTGGCATATCTAAACGGTCTGTTGCTTTTAGATATGTTTTCATGACAGACTCGTACTCAGAACATGAATGGCTTTTGGCCTTAATTCGAATACAAAGAGTTCTGTTTTATTTCTAGTTTCCTTGTTTTGGGCTTGTAGATCTCAGCACTGTCTCGCCTATCACTACATGGTAGGCTGGCCGTAGTGGTAGTGGTATGCAGTGACTCTCATTCACATTATACATCGCAGTGTAATGCCTTTTTGCTTCATGAAATTTCAATTTTTTGAACGAATTTCAAATTACATAGCTCCGTCCTTCCACCACTTTCAACTGCCAGCTCATTCGTCCATATTACTATCACGTTGTGCTTCACAGCCCTGATCCCCCTGAGTCTCGAGTATTTCCATAACATGGTTAGCGGGAAGAGTTCCAGCCAGAGTACGAGGACAGGTGCGAGTTCGAATGGTTACGGCCAGGGCCCAGTTGCGCATGAGGCACCCACCAGATACGCCCGTAAACCTGTTTCAGACCACGAGATGGAGGCAGTACTGGTGAGTATGGCGGGCACCCGCATGGACCTGTGTGTAGGATGATTTATAGCGTGATGCTTCTGTGGCCGGGCGAATAGAGTTGTGTTGGATTTTGTGGTGGAAGCCGGCATATCGGAGTGAGGATGTATACTTGTGATGTTGTACATTACACTGATATGCTGTGTCATGATTTCCAATGCGTGTATAGCGTACTAAACGTTGACTGATATGCTCTATGTCATCATTTCCAAAGCGTGTAAAGCACACTACACGTTGGATTGTGCGTGGTGTTGCATTCACTCCCGCAAGTACTACATTTAATGTATAGCTTTGTGTGCCGCGCACGGATTGTGTCGGACAGGGTTTCTGACCTGTGGTCTATACAGGGACTATAATTAACACGGCTTGTGTCGGTTGGGGTTACTGATCTGTGCTCGCTATACAGGGATTTATACTTGTAGACACTCGACGCGCGGGCGCCAATTGCCGTGTTGTTAGCCAACGTTTGTTTACTGCCTGAAATATGGCTTTAATTTTGGTTTTCCGTATATATTGCTTTCTGTCGCTCATTGAATGTATTCCCATCCGCTGATGCCCATTTATCTCGTATATTCTTTGCCAACCAGTCTGGTATGGCATTCTAGACTGATCCTGGAGGGTCAACAGAACATTTCGTCGGGGAAAAGGCGACAGCCACTTACTCAAGGCTCGTACGAGAGGGTTGAGATTTGACTGTACTGAGTATAGAGGCTTCCAGCTGACCGATATTGGTTAGACAGCAACCCTGTCATATAATATTTGGCGATATAGGACATCAACATATACAGCTAATACTGCAATACACCTGTTTGCTGGATGAGATACCGTGCTGTAATATCTTGGTAATCCCGTAACCACAGCAGAAATCAACGGGTCCATTGAGACAATTATATATATATATATATATATCTGTCTGTGTGTGTATATATGTCTATATATATGTATGCATATGTATGTATATATATATATTGAAATATAAGCAGCAAATTTTGCTTCGTATGACGCGATGTGCTTCTTGTAGCATGATAGGCTATTGTATAGGGGTCCACGGAAACGTTGTAAACCAATCCGTCTGCAATCATGATCGAGTTCTCCTGAAAGCTATAATGTTCCAACGAAATAAAAGGTGCCGTTGAATACAGTGGTGTATGTATCAACGACTTGTTCAAGTATATAAGCCTACATAGATTTATTTGTCGTCAGACAGGAGGGGTTTACACAATTGTTTTATTGGGAGATGCTCATGGACATTGGAAATCATAGTTATGTTTTAATTGCACGGGTTGAAGTGTACATAGCTATCATTCTCAGTTGAAGTATACATGTAGAACAAATACATTTATTACCATCTATATCTATATATACACTCAATGATCAAACATGTCCAATCCTTTAGCTCGCTACGGGGCGCAGACATAGAATGCAAATAAAAGTCCAGCACGCAACACACACCAGGTGCAAAATTAGTTCATAGTTGTCGTTCTATCTTCAAACGAGCACACACCTAAATATATGATGGACCATGTGAACAACGACCAAAGAGTGGATATGGAGATATAATAAGTCCGTAAAAAAAGAGGAGAGGGGGAGGGTGGCACACCTACATGATAGACCATGTGAACAACGACCAGGGAGTGGATATGGATATATTTAGTGTGCTAGTGTGTGGCGTAGGTTTAAGCGGTTCCAAGTAGATATTGGTTTCAGGCGGATACAGTCCGAAAAAAAAAGGGGGGGGGGGGCACTTTCCGCCTTCCTCTTAATATTCTATACTTAGGGCTAGACGGTCTAGACCTGACAACTTTGTTACTTTATATAGGCATAAGGATGACGCGCCATTGCTATAATGAGATTAGCGGCACAAATTGCGACATATGTGCTTTAAACAGCAAATCTTGGCATATTCAAACGCACCCGTGTATCTATTGAGGCTGTTCCCAGGGTGCACGTATAGCATAATTTTAAAACTGCAGAGGGCGAAGCGAAAAGAGCTCTGCATGAAAAAAGAGGGAGGAAAAGGTTCGTTCGAAACAAATCTCTACTTGGAACCGCCATATTTTATTTACTTGTCAGTGTTAGATGCGTTACGAGCATGATGTATTGGTGTGTTGCTTTTGTCCTTAAATTTATGCAAGTATGTGACATAAATGAAGAAGTAATACATGTTCTGTTTCGAGGGACGGTATAGCTTTTTTTTTTATGCTACACAATCATCAAATATTGTTCTATCCACGCAATGTCGTATATGATATGTCGAACCGAGCATTTTGCTATTATTTTATTAGATGCATGGTAGTATAAATGATTCACCTGGAAATGCAAGAAGATGGGTTTCAAAGTGCATTTACATATGACCGCAACAGAATACATGTCTCGATAGGAACTTTTCAAATATACCCAATTCCAAGTGTGAAATATGACCATGTATATTGCCTGCTACTTATGTGAGTAATGTTGCAATATATATTTTTTATTCAATTTATGTTATAATCACAATTTAAGTTGTAACTGTGATTCAAACGTATTCTTTAACATACAAAGCCGATGTTCTGTTGCGAACAGGTAGTCCTCGTAAATCAAAACAAAAAGACAAAAATAAACCATACACACTCCAACCTGTTTATCTTGCCATTGTTTCTCTTTCCATTGTTTCTCTTGCGATTGTTTCTCTTGTCATTATTCCCCTTGTTCCACTTCCTGTCATTATCTCCCTTCTTCCACTTCCTGGCATTCTTCCCGTTGTTCCGCTTCTCCTCTTTGCAACATTCGTGCTTGTTGCACTTGCCATCGCACTTGTACTCAAAATTATACTTGGCTACTAGATCGCCATTGCATTTGAAGTCATCGCAAAAGTACTCCTTCTCCTCACAGCACTCGCGTTTGCCACATTTACCATCGCACTCGTACTCATAATCGTGCTTAGCATCATATTCCTTTCCGCACCTGTAATTCTCGTCATAGTAGTACTTCTTCACCCAATTGTTTCCCCTGTCTCTTCCCCCGTCTCTTCCCCTGTCTCTTTCCCCATCTCGTCCCCAGCTTCTAGCAGATGCTACCGCAGCAAGAAAGAGGGTGGCTTTCATCCTGTTTGAACTTTAAGTTGTATGTTATACTGTTGTAAATACAGGTTTGCAAATGATATGAAACGCGATATATATCGGATATTTATACTTGTTTTCGGGTTCGGGTTCTCGTCTCTATCAGTAGCGCCTCTCGAGTTGTACCTATTTCACAAAACAAAATAATGTTATAAATATTATCTATTATTCGTATCTACGTCGCTCAAGGTTGAAAATCCCGTAAGTAAATATGAAATCTGAAGTCTGAACTCCGAATCCTCTAAAAAGTTAAAAAGTGGATCTGCGTTTGTTGAGGTGACAATAAAAAGAATTTCAAATTTGATGGGCAGCAGCCAGCGGCCCAGCAGTGAAGACTGAAGTGAGAAATCTTGAACACTGATATATATTAAGGGCAGGTGGCCAAGTGTTTACTATTCAATTTATTATACAGAAGGGTACGTAATACGCGTCATACTTATTTGTATTGAATTTATATGTAAATATTTAGTTTCCAGCTATTATTTGAAACACTCAGCGTTTGATTTTTATATAAAACACGGCTGGGGCGCCGCGGGGACTGAAAGCGATTAATCAAAGAGGGTAGCTGATAACTTGTGAATATATTTGTGCAGGGCGGAGTGATCTGAGCCGTGAGGGTGAGATAATTTCTTGAGTAACCCACCTATTCACACTTTTGACCACGAAAATGAAAAACAACTAGAAAGTGATTACCTGTGCATTTTTTCTGACAATATGGCACTTGTGAACTTGTGAAGTTGTCCCACTAGTCACTAGGCACTAAGTCACTAATAACACATAAAAGTCAAACTAATCGTGCTGGTAGACTGTGTAGCCTGTTGCCTGTAGGCTGTAAATCCTAGATATCTCTATCAATTATATATACCTTCACTTCTAGAATATGAACAACGTCAATATCAAGGGGCAGTGTCGCGGGCTACTATACCTGACAACGCTCAACCAATGCTAAAGTCTCCTGAACCGATGGTTGGGCGCCCGGGCAATAGTTAGGTAATGTGGTTAGGACAAACTCTGACCTAGACAATGCTTTAATGGGTAGCTTTAGGACTACGAATATATAGGAGAAAGTTTAACTTTTTACTTTTACTTTTTCATTTGAAAACGTTGCAACGTAATACGTGATGAGGTTAGCTTCCAGCCCCAGGCGAAGTTCCAGCTTTTTAAAACAAATACGCTTTCAGTGATAAATAAAATAACGATTAATCGTTAGAAAAAAGCAACTGTAAAAACAAATGGCCTAAAATTTATGTTCGATTTTTGAAAAAAAACGGAAAAATATTACTTTTTTTAATTTTGAGCTTAGTTACTAAGATGTGCGCCCTGACTTCCTCTGCAGAGGTTTTGGTTTCATTGGCTTATTATGTTATTGTCATGTGTACGTATTTGTAATTGAGTAGTAGCGTCATAATATTTACTCTAAAGTATTAATTGAAAAAGAATGATACAATATTCCAGATTTGTTACTTCGAAGATTCAAATCTATAGTTAAGATAAACCCAAATTCCTTTTGCAATTTTTAAAAAAGTAAGAAATATTCAAAGGCCAAAGTCGCAAACTGCAAAGTGCAAAGGCCTAAATACTGGCCACGGGACATAGCAGTCGGCATTTAAAAAAAACCACCGAATGTAAAAGTTTGAGACTTTTGAGTCTTGACATGAGGTTGATACATAGTGAGCAACAGTCATGACTCATGCATGACTCCTGAGACAACACTTAATGCTATTAATATATGCGTGATCTGAGATTTTAATGATTCAGCTGTAGCTAACTCAGGGGCCAGCCGGCCAGCAGGGGCCAGGCCAGTCGGCCAGAGTCCAGACGCCAAGTCCAACAACGGCTCTTTACACTATGCAGTATTTTCTTGGGGGGCTTTTTTAAATAATATGGTCCGGGTTATTACAATTGATTGATATTCTATTCCAGCGATTGCGCCTATAAGGCAGTGAAGGCACCCGTGGGCCGTGACTATTAAATTATTAACGCCCGAGCCCTTGTATTCCTACGTATCTGAACCAAGTGTTTTTGTTTTAAATTTATATTCTGGAAGAAAAAAAATTGCGGTTAATGAAATCACAGAACAGGAACCCTTGGACCCAAGAGACCTAAAAGACAATAGGACCTGAAATTTAGAGAGAACGGGACAAAACAAAATTTAGTGTAGAAGGCTAAGAAACGATTTTTGTTTTTGTTTTTATATATAATCGGTATATGAGGTGAATAATCGGTACATGCGCAATGATCGGTACATGAGATGAATGTCTAATCTGCTGTCGTTGTGCGCAACGAGCCAGAAATTTACATCTAGTATGTTCGAACTAACAATTGTCTCTACATTGGCTTATAGATAGAACAAAATAAACACAACGTACGCAGAAATGTTCCAGTAACCATTGTTGTGCTGAAATAGTGCACGAAAGAAGCGACAACGACCTCGTCTGTTAAAACAGCGTCACAAGCCCCCGGGGTTTCCACAATTGCTATATTGGGAGATGACCATTGACTGAAAATTTTAACTATGTTTTGGAAACACCTTTATATTATCAATTTTTCAATACATTCAAACGCAAGCGTAGCCTAGCTTTAGCGTACACAATGCCCTTCTATTCTTTATACCCCTTCCATGCCTATATGAGATACAAATGTTCAGAAAAGTATCTGGCCCACGCAAACAACAGTGGAATCAAATCTATTTCAAGTTTTTCGATATATATCGTCGTGCACTCAGTGCTCACGAAACACTGCTCCACCGATTTTTTTGTAATCTAATTCAATTACAACTTATAGTATATTTACAACCAAATTCTTGGTTTATCACTGTAGGCGATGAAAAGGTGTGTATGCCCACAATTGGGTATTCGGCGACAATGACGCAGATTGTATTCTCAATATTATCCGAAGTAGGTCATTGAAAAAAAAACAAACTGCGCTGAGCTTTCAAACATAGCAAATTTGGTCGATCAAGACCTCGAACTGGGCACGTACTACATTGCAGTCCAGACCTGTCCTTGACAGACATTTGCATCGACGAAATATTGTTGAAGTGTAAATAGCCATCAGTCTGTTAAAGTGTACATGTAGAATATGTAGCACTTAATTCCTATTGAAGTCTATATATACACTCAATGATCAAACATGTCCAATCATAGATGTTGATCTATCTTAAACGAGCACACACCTATATTATAGACAATATGAACAACAACCAGGGAGTAGATATGGATATAAGTGTACTAGTGTGTGGCGTAGGTTTATTTATTTGACAGTGTCAATTACGTTACGAGCATCGGTGTATTGTTTCGTTGAAGAAGTAATATATGTTCTGTTTCGAGGGACGGTATAGCTTTTTTGTATGCTACACGTATACAATCATCACATGTTGCTCTATCCACACAATATCGTCTATGATATGTCGAGCATTTTTATTTTATTTTAGTAGAAACATGGTAGTATAAAGATTCACCTGAAAATGCAAGAAGATAGGTTTCAAAGTGCATTTACAAATGACCGCAACAGAATACATGTCTCGTTAGGAACTTTTTAAATATACCCAATGCCAAGTGTGAAATAAGGTCATGTACATTGCCTGCTATTTATGTGATTGTTGTTGCAATATATTTATATATATTCAATTTCTGTTATAATCACAATTTCCAAAGTTCTGTTGCGAACACGGTAGTCCTCGTGGATCAAAACAAGAAGACAAAAACAAATCATACACACTCCAACCCAACAATATATACTTAATGGCGTCCATTCCTGTTTCTTTTGCCATTGTTTTTGTTTCTCTTGCCATTGTTTCTCTTTCTATTGTTTTGTTTCTCTTGTCATTATCCCCCTTGTTCCACTTCCTGTCATTCATCCCGTTGTTCCGCTTCTCCTCTTTGCAACATTCGTGCTTGTTGCACTTGCCATCGCACTTGTACTCAAAATTATACTTGGCTACTAGATCGCCATTGCATTTGAAGTCATCGCAAAAGTACTCCTTCTCCTCACAGCACTCGCGTTTGCCACATTTACCATCGCACTCGTACTCATAATCGTGCTTAGCATCATATTCCTTTCCGCACCTGTAATTCTCGTCATAGTAGTACTTCTTCACCCAATTGTTTCCCCTGTCTCTTTCCCCATCTCGTCCCCAGCTTCTAGCAGATGCTACCGCAGCAAGAAAGAGGGTGGCGATGGCAAGTTTCATCCTGTTTGAACTTTAAGTTGTATGTTATACTGTTGTAAATACAGGTTTGCAAGTGATACGAAAGACGACATACATCGGATATTTATACTTGTTTTTCGAGTTCGCTTTCCCGTCTCTCACAGTATCGCTCCTCGGGTTGTAACTTATTTCACAAGAAAATTCTTTTTATTTATTTATTATTCATATCTACGTTCATACAAGATTGAACATCCTAAAAATCTAGCGTCTGAACTCCGAAGCCTCTTAAAGCTGGATCTGCGTCTGTTGATGTGATAAAAAGGATTTTCAATTTGATCGCCAGCAGTGCAGACAGCAGTGAGGATTAAAATTAGCGAAGTGAGAAGTCGTGAACACTGAAAAGGGCAGGTATTCACTACCTAGTACGGTACAATACGTCATACATATTTGTTTTATGGATTAGTTGTATTTTGATTTATTTTGTATTTTTCTTTTAAAAAACAAAAACGACAATAGAAAATATAGCTTATGACTTTTGTTGTTGCTTTATATTTATATTTAATTAAAAATATACTTTTTATGTGGCGGTTCCAAGTCAATTTCTGTTTTTGCTCAATATTTATTTTAATGTATGTATTTGTCCCCTGCCCGCTTTAACTTGTTGCTAATTTGTGTCTATTTTTTATATACTCTACTAAAATTATGCTATTTACTACTGAATTTGATACTGGCCCGAAATTATTGTGAGGGTTTGGGGACCCAGACCCAATTTTTATTTTTATTCTTGGAAAAAGTATATATTATGAACTAGCTTGTAGAAGGAAATATTTAAAATATAAATAGTTTATAGGCGCCTTTCTCCTACTTTTCTATTTAGGAAATGAAATATTTGGAACCGCCTTATATAAAAATCAAGATAAATATCACTTTTTAGTTTTTGACCATATTTAGCCTTCTATTAGCTCTGAAACAGACTTTTGATATTTTTTTAGCTATGGCCTTTTTATAAATATATATATATATATATAAACATTTATGTATGCTTTTGTTCTGGTTTTTATATGTTGTTGTTAAGTAAACAAAAAAAAAACGAAAATACTTCCTTTGTTTTTTGGGTTTTATTTTTGATATATATTTTGTTATAAAAAAAAACAAAAAACAAAAACAAAATATAATTATTTGATTCAAAGAATTTGTTTTTTTTGAAAACGATAATATAAAAGGATCAAAACCAATCAGTATAAATAGAGCAGCGACCTATAGCCTAAGCTCAATCTGTTAAATGGTATACAGAATAAAAGTTGAATGGAAACGTATACTGAAGAACGTTAAAAAGTTTTCACAGGTGAAAAAATAAAACGAAATTCTCAAATTTGCACTCAACATGTAAACCTAAATTCTAACGAAATGGACTATATGGCAAATAGCAACTAATGAATATCTAGTATACAAAACAATGATTTCGACTGACAGGCGGGCCCGCAGGGTTTAAGACAAATTGATGGCCTGGAAATTGCACCACTTCAAATTTCATGGGGCTATATACAGAATAAAAGTTGAACGGAAACGTTTACTGATTCATTTTGAAAAAGTTAAAACGGGAAACTGAATGAGGCTAGCCTATAGCCTATAGGCTTGCTATGAAAAAGTAACCTGAAAATCCTTTTGATCCTCAACAGACGCAGATCCAGCTTTTAGAGGCTTCGGAGTTAAGACTTGAATAATAAATATTTAATACGATATTTTTGTGAAATAAGTACAACCCGAGAGGCGATACTGTGAGAGATGAGAACCTGAACTCGGAAACAAGTATAAATATCCGATGTAAGTCGTCTTTCGTATCACTTGCAAAACCGTATTTACAACAGTATTACAAACAACTTAAAGTTCAAACAGGATGAAACTTGCAATCGCCACCCTCTTTCTTGCTGCGGTAGCATCTGCTAGCAGCTGGGGAAGAGACGGAGGAAGAGATAGGGGAAGAGACGGAGGAAGAGATAGGGGAAGAGACGGAGGAAGATATAGGGGAAGAGACAAGGGAGGCGACAGGGGAAACAATGGGGTGAAGAAGTACTACTGTGACGAGAATTACAGGTGCGGAAAGGGATATGTTGCTAAGCACGATTACGACCACGAGTGCAATGGCAAATGTGACAAACGCGAGTGTTGCGAGGAGGATAAGTACTATTGTGACGAAGGCTTTAAGTGCGGCAAGGGATACGTTTCGAAGCACGATAACTTTGACTACGAATGCAATGGAAAATGTGACAAGCGAATGCTGCAAGAAGGAGGAGTACTACTGTGACGATATCAAGTGTGGCAGAGGTTACGAAAAGAAGCACGGCTTCAATTGCGGGTGTGATGGCAAATGCGACAAGTACGAATGTTACAAAGAGGAAAAGCGGAACAACGGAAAGGACGGGAAGTGGAAAAAGGGGGGTAATGACTGGAAGTGGAACAAGGGGGATAATGACATGAGAAACAATGGCAAGAGAAACAGAAACACTGGCAAGAGAAACAGAAACAATGGCAAGAGAAACAGAAACAATGGCAAGAGAAACAGAAACAATGGCAAGAGAAACAGAATCAATGGCAAGAGAAACAGAATCAATGACAAGAGAGACAGGAACGGACGCCATTAAGTTCATATTGTGGGGTTGGAGTGTGTATGGTTTGTTTTTGTCTTCTTGTTTTGATCCACGAGGACTACCGTGTTCGCAACAGAACATCGGCTTTGTATGTTGAAGGATACGTTTGAATCACAGTTGCAACTTAAATTGTGATTATATCGTAAATTGAATAAAAACAATATATTGCAACAACACTCACGTAAGTAACAGGCAATATACATGACCTTATTTCACACCTGGCATTGGGTATATTCAAGTGGCAACCAACTTCTTAACTGGGTGGGCTGCCTATAATTCTGGAAGCTAAAAATAGGTGCTGCCATTTTCATGAAAATTGGGGAAATGAGTAGAAATAGGTCTTATCTCGTCAAATACTCGGTGCTACCTAATGTGAACACGAACGCTGGCGTCGTACAGTACACACCAAATATGTTTCGTGAGGGGGTATATTAATATCAAAGGGTATTTTATCAAATTTGAAATGTGCTTTTCTGTTCATTTTCCGGTAACAATATGTGTTCCTGGTGTTCGGTTTTAAGCAACGTGAATATAAGATTACACAACGTAATTCTACATACGACGTCTAAAATATCAAGCGTGTAGCAACTGACCCCGGATGAAAGACGCATCTAGTTTTACGTCTATAACTAACCAATTTCACGCCAAAAATCGACTCTCTCCCGCTAAATACCTGTAGTGATCGGTTCATGAGGTGTATGTCTGATCTGCCGTCGTTGTGTGGCACTAGCCAGAAATTTACATCTAGTGTATTCGAATAAAAAATAATCTTTACAGTGACTACTAGAGAGAGGCAAAATAAAAAAACATAACGTACGCAGAAATGTTCCAGTGTACTTGGTTGTGCTAAATGGTGCACGGAAGCAACGACCTCGCCTGTTACAACAACGTCACAAGGCCCGCGAGATCAGAGTAAGGTGACTTTGGTAGCAAATATAGCCACTATTGTACCTATGCACCTTAATAATGATATTCTAATGATAACACTAGTAAAGCACAAATGGTTCTAAGATATTCAAATGACAACAATATTTGAAACACGCAAAGGTCCCATTTATCACCCGGCTATCTAGCTTCAATGTATAATTGGTCACAGTAGCCAGGTGACATCTCTTCATCACACATACATTGTGATTAAAATCATTGATAGCCCCAGTAAAACACAAATCTCACTATTTGAATGGCCGTGAAAATAGGCTACCGAGCTCATTGTAAAAACTAAGGAGGCTAAAGACGCAAAAGCTCTCAATACGTTTATTGCCTTTTATGGCTACAATTCAATTACGCCGCCACGGCAAACTTCTCAAAGAGCTTACTTGACAGCGTCGATTGCGGTTCGTATTGATCTGCAAACCCCAAAGTGAATAGTTAGAAAAGGGATTGAAATCTAATGAAAATCGGTCGCTTATGGTACTCTGACTGCAGAATGCGCGCATCTATAGACTTTCAAGAATTCAGGATTTGATAATATACCCCCTTGATATTAATATACCCCCTCACGAGACATATTTGGTGTGTACTGTACGTCGCCAGTGTTCTTGTTCACATTTAGATAGCACTGAATATCTGAGCTGCTTGATTTATCTCATCGCTCCAATCGCCACATACACATAGTCGATCTTCCTTAGCATGTTAATGCCATTGTGTAATATCCCATCCAATTTGCTGTGCAACACAAAACATGCTGCAGTACATACATCAGACACCCCACACAATGACAAGGGTTGGTCGTGTCCATGTTTGCAGCCGTCAGAAAATATCTGCTTTATATACTTGCCGACTCCCAATCCACAACACCAGCACTCACAAGTAGGCCCTCATACGGTAGCATTGAGCCTGCTGTAGCGGGCACATACCTTCGCCAGGGCTAATGTTTTCAATGTCAGCAGCTAACCTCGTAGCCTGGTCAATCGCCCGCTTGGCATCCAGTTCCGTTGCCACGTCTGCTCCCCCAATACAATACACCTGCATACCCGCATCTACGCACAACAGAAAGTATATTACAGAGGTGAGCCCGATAATATTAGGATTGGACGAGATCAGACCTATTTCTACTCGTTTCCCCAAATTTCACGAAAACCCAGTTTTTAGGGCTAGAAAAGAAGGGCACCACACCCAGTTGAGAAGTTGGTTGCCACTAGTTATAACGACTCCCGAAATCTCAAACACAGGTCTAAAAGCCAAATGTAGACACGATCACCAGGGGTTTAGGGGGGTTTAAACCCTAAAACCTCGGGAAACCAGTTGTAGATTTCTAGACACGATCATGAGAACACTAACACTGGACACTGAACTTTAAACGCAACGCAAAGTAGCCAGCGCAGGCACATATGAATAAACAGTACTACTAGGGCTGGTGGAAGGGGCCCAGAAAGTCCGGAAGGGTTGCCAATAGCAACCGAGCCCAACCAACCAATGTACCTCCCTGGCCGTGCTTGCATACACGTACTGTTGCATGTAGATACATAGGTAGGTATATATGTAGGTATATATGGCTACCCCTGTGCATGGAGATGCACGTATGGCTTGATACCTACTGCTCGCGGGGTTTGGGTCGCGCATACGCACTCGCAGGCGTACACGAGTGAAGAAGCTCCATCCACCACTGGCAACAACTAAAACCTATGTGTGGGAATTTGTGTATATATCTGCAGCACATACGTACCTTTGAGCAGCTTGGCTAAGTCCCTATTGGGCTCCTGTCCCGCGCAGATGATGATGTTATCTACCTCTAGAATCTGATCTCCAGCTGTTGTAGGGACGAAAACGATTGCATGTTTGTAGTGAGACTAAAGATCGTTGACTATTGTTCCATACCTCACAGATATATATTACAAGAAAATTCAACAATATCAGCCCTGGCAAGACACAAGTAGTGTATCGGTATATTAGGTATCGCGATGGACAGACAGACCCCTAATGTTGAATTTCGGACCGGTATGCTTAGTACAGGGCAACAAACAATAGCTTCTAGCTCCGGTTGGTGCAGCTCCGCCCACATCATACAAGTGCGATTGCGGGAGATACTACCAGGGACTATATATATGAGGCAATCTCCAGAAGTCGTACATCAGAAGGTAAAGAGTGGTGGCTTTAACAGATGAGGCTTGTGCATTCATTGTATCATTACATTTCTCCACTCACCTTTGCTTGAGATGTGTAGATTCCCTTCAGCATCAATCTTCTTATATTGCACGCCCTGGTTATATCGGAGAAGAAAACGGTCACTCAGTGTGTACATGAGATATATGAATACAAACACATACATACACACACCTATATATATATATATATATATATATGTGTGTGTATGTGTA